AGGAAACACCTTATACCAAGGCTGGAACAAATTGAATGGGTTCAGAAAACAAAAGGAAGGCCCACAGTGACTGGAGCGTGGCATTTAGGGCTGAAGGTGAAGTCAGAAAAGTATGTAAAAGTCTGGTCAAGTAACAGGCTCGTAGGCCAAGGTAAGGAATTTGGGTTTTATTTTGCTGCAGTGAGAGATGTAGATTTCACACAGAGGCATGAAATGGTCTGATACAGGTTTCCAAGAAGCATTCTGACGGCCATTAGAAAGTGCAAGTTTGGGAATATGGTGATCACTGAGAAAGCTATGAGGCCCTGAGTGGTGGATCATGCCTGTAATCTCAGCACTTTGGAAGGCCAAGGCAGGAGGATTGCTTGAGGCCAGGAGTTTAAGACCACCCTAGGCAACACAGTGAGACCTCGTCGCTACAAAAAATAAAAATATAAGCCAAGTGCGGTGGCATGTGCCTGTAGTCCCAGCTACTCAGGAGGTTAAGGCAGGAGGATCGCTTGAGCCCAGGAGTTCAAGACTGCAGTAAGCTATGATTGCACCACTGCACTCCAGCCAGAGCAGCAGAGTGAAACCACGTCTCTTATGAAATGAAATAATGAAATTCAAATAATAAAATAAAACAGAAAGCTATCACAATAACTGAGGTCAGGTGTGATGAGGTGTGGACCAGGATTATAGCAGTAGAGATGGAAAGTAGCTCACAGAGTCATGACATCTTTTAGAGAAGGAGCTGTTGGAATTAACTGATTTATTAGATTACATGGTTGGGGGTGATATGAATTAAAGCACTATTCCTAGCTTTTTAGTTTGAGCAACTAAAAGGATGGTAGCTCCATTTCCAGAGATGAGAGGACTGAGGAGATCATGTTTCGGGGGGAGTATTTGGTCTTTAACATGTGAGCCTATTGGACGAGCATTTGGGTAACTTCAGTCTTACTCCTCAGCAGCTGCTGTCGGCAGGGTGGGGTTAGGTAGGCAGGCACTACGTCTGAGCAAGCTGGTCTGATTACAGAGTTTTATCTGGAAAGGGAAACCCAGGGCTGGGCATACGATCTAAGGTTAGCAGCCTGTCACACCAACAGATAAATGTCTGTTAAGGCAATTAACACATAAGCATTCAGAAAGTGTACCTTGTCACAGTGGCTTAATTCCAACTAGGTTGTTATTACTCAGTTGACACCTCTTGGCAGAGTTTTCTGATATTTTCTTTAACTCTTTAGTGTTATACTTTATGTATATTCACATGAATTGAAAACAGGTTCAGTTAAAAGGGTAAATTAAAAATATAAAACATTTTTTAGAAAAGAAAACAGGGCCAGGCGCGGTGGCTCACACCTGTAATCCCAGCACTTTGGGAGGCCGAGGCAGGCAGATCATGAGGTCAGAAGATCGAGACCATCCTGGGTAACATGGTGAAACCTCGTCTCTACTAAAAATACAACAAATTAGCCAGGTGTGGTGGCGGGCGCCTGTAGTCCCAGCTACTCGGGAGGCTGAGGCAGGAGAATGGCGTGAACCTGGGAGGCAGAGCTTGCAGTGAGCCGAGATGGTGCCACTGCACTCCAGCCTGGGTGACAGAGCGAGACGCTGTCTCAAAAAAAAAAAAGAAGTATATGATGTAGACTCTACATTTTAATGTAATGTTTTATTAATTGTAATGAAACATTAAAATGTTTTAACATCCTTGAAATTTAAATAAGGGAAGTTTTGGGTTTCCATAAAGACAATACATATACTTAAACACAAAAAGCCTGAGATGGAGGTTAAAAAATGGTAAAGCTGTAAAGAGCTGTTAAAAGCATAACGCTGTATTTTTCATCCCCCAAATCTTAAAATGTAAATAAATGGCTTTAGCGTTTGACCCCAAAGCTGGAGATTTGTTTTTTAATTTTTAATTTTTGTGGGTACATAGTAGATGTATTATGGGGTACATGTAATATTTTGATACAGGCATGCAATGCATAATAATCACATCAGAGTAAAAAGGGTATCCATCACCTCAAGCATTTATTTTTTGTGTTACAAACAACCCAAGTATACTCTTTTAATTATTTAAAAATGTACAATAAAATTATTTTTGACTATAGTCACTCTGTTGTGCTAGCAAATACTAGATCTTATTCATCCTTCCTAACTATTTTTTGTGCCCATCAACCACACCCACGTGCCCCCCACTCTTCCCCTACTCTTCCTAGGCTCTGGTAACCATCCTTCTAACTCTCTATCTCCATGAGTTCAACTGTTTTAATTTTTAGCTCCCATAAATAAGTGAGAACATGTGACATTTGTCTTTCCGTGTCTGGTTTAGTTCACTTAACATAATGATCTCCGTTTCCATCCATGTTGTTGCAAATGATAGGATCTCACTCTTTTTTATGGCTGAAGAGTACTCCATTGTGTACGTACCATCTTTTCTTTGTCCATTTGTCTGTTAATGGACACTTAGGTTGCTTCCAAATCTTAACTATTGTGAATAGCACTGCAATAACCATGGGAGTGCAAAACTGGAGAATTTTGAAATAATACATTTACTCCTACAGAGATCCTGAATAATCATAGTTCTTGATTACACCCAGCTCCTCTTCATTATTTTAAGTATTCGTGTTCATCATTAAGTTGATCCTTCTAGTAAAAAAGCTGTCACAGCTTCAATTTCCTTTTGAGGACTGAGACCTTCCCACCTTAGCGAGAACTTTCCATGTTGAGGTCTGCAGCGAGAGTCACATTACCCAGAGGACTGAGGGGACCCCAGTTATGCCCTTGCAGATATGGGAACAAGAGGGCTGAATTCATGAGCCAGAGCCTTACAATACTGCCAAAAATCCCAAGATCCCCAAAGCAAATACCCAGGAAGGATTTGTCTGGATATCACCTTCGCCTCCTATTTAGAACAGGGTTGCCCTGAAAGTCTGTCCACCCATCACAGGAGAAGACCTTGGAGAGTGGCTAGCGGAATTCAGGTATATTCTTTGTGCCTGCATTCTATTTGAGCAGCCTGGGCACAGGGCAAGGAAAACTCTTTTGCAGAATCCACATTACTTGTGGAGCATAAATTGAGAAACTCTGATCCAGGAATATCCAACATTACAGTGGTCTCCTGGGGTCCCTACTAACCGGTCCTCTATTAATCTCCCTGCCCTCATTTCCTACCATCCTCTCCCTCACTCACTCTGCTCCAGCTACTCTGGCCTTCCTCAAAAACAGACACACTTCTACCTTGAAGCCTTTACATTTGCCTAGAACACACTCTAGCTTGCTCTTTTACCTGCTTTATGTCTTGGCTTTCATGCCACTGTTTGAACAAGGCCTACCCTTATTAACCCCAATCAATATTGTAAACTTCCCTTTCACCACCCACTCTCACCACCCTCATTATTCAGCTCTTTTTTTAAAAAAAGATATCTATTATGTTCTAATACATATCACTGGGGTATGTTTCATATATTGTATATTGTCTGTCTCCTCCCACTAGAACACAGCTCCACAAAGGGTGAAATGTTTGCCTGTTTGTTGGTTGACTGCTGTTACCCCTGGGCCTGCATCAGCACCTGGCGCATAGTAGACTCTCAAGAACAGCTGTCGATTAAATGACTGATTATAGCACATCTGGGAAAACAAAGGCTTGATTTGGTCCCTGTTTTCAACACTAGCGCTCCCTGCCCCAAGGCTGGTCCTCTCCTAGCACTGCCAGCCTCTGCCAGTCCTTAGTGGGACATGACCTGCCCTTGCCCACACACCTACTCGATCCTCACTCAGTAGTCAGCATCCATATCCCGCCGTGACTGACCCAGGCACACAGTGCCAGCAGCTCGTCCAGATTGGAAACTCTTCAAGTCTCAGTCTTTTCTCAGTCTGTACCTCGTCCCTGCATTCTCTCTCCTGTCCCCCTCACTGTAGACCTTCAGACACTCACCAATTTCCTGTTCTCTCTCTCTCAGTCCCTGGGAAGACTGGCGGTGGGGCAGGACACCAATCGCCCCAGCTGCTCTTCCAGGCTCCGCTGCCAGACGAGCTCTTTGGTCTGTGATTTTTCTGCCAATTATTAGAAAGAAATAGACCTGGGATAATAAAAACAAACCAAGGAGGAATTTAAAAGGTTACTAAATCTTTTAAAATTCTGTTTTCTCAATGGTATTTTCTCATTTGTACTTCTCGGCTCTTTTTTGAGATGTTTACATAGAATCATCATCTTTCCTTATATACTCCCTTTTGGAGGAAAAAGTATTTTCAGAGTTTCTCAATTATGTCAAATAACAGAAAACATTTATTGAACAATTACTATGTGCTCAGCACCATAATGCATCTCTATGAAAATGAGCTCATTTAATCCTCACAACCTCTCAGTGACATGGATGCTGTCAATCTTCCCATTTCATGGAGGAAAACTGAGGCCCAGAGAAGCTACCTAGTGGAGGACTCTAAGTTTAAGTTACAACTTATCTAATTTGAGAGTTCCAATTTTCAACTTCTACAAAATATCTCTGATACATGAGAGAAGCTGGAAAGTGAGATCATAACCACCAGAAAAATACTACTTGTTAGTGCCTCAGAAGAACTACCACTGGTGAGTAGAATTACAACACTGGCAACCCAAAACAGACATGCATGTCATGTTGTCTGATTTTGGAGACATTCTTTATTTTCAGTGGCGTGTGCCATGCATTTATTCATTGAGCAATTTATTGAGTACCTTTAATGTGACAAAAAGCCTGGCCACTGCAGAAACAGGTGAGCAAAAGCAAACACAGCCCTTACTTTCATAGAACAAATATTTCTTCTTGAAATCAAGTTCCTGGCACTGGGTATCAGTAGACTTGAAAATATGTATAACCAGCTGGGCACACACTTGTAATCCCAGCACTTTGGGAGGCCAAGGCAGGCAGATCTCTTGAGGTCAGGAGTTTGAGAGCAGCCTGGTCAACATGGTGAAACCGTGTCTCTACTGAAAATACAAAAATTAGCCAGATGAGGTGGCATGAGCCTATAATTCCAGTTACGTGGGAGGCTGAGACATGAGAATTGCTTGAACCCAAAAGGCAGAGGTTTCAGTAAACTGAGATCATGCCACTGCATTCCAGTCTGGGTGACAGAGTGAGGCTCTGTCTCAAACAAAAAATCCAAGAAAATATGTTTAACCTATAACCAAGAATCTCATTTCTAGAAATAAAAATAATCTGAAGTAAACACAAATTAATTATGCATAGAGATGTTTATCAGAGGATTATTTGTAATAGCAATAAATTAGAAACAACTTGTATTCAAAAGTAGGTAAATCATTAGGTAAATTGTGGTACACCCACATATTGAAATATAATAGTCATTCACAATAATGTTTTCAAAAAGTTTAATATTATGAACAAATGCTGAAATTATAATGTTAAAAATGAGAAAAGTAAGCTATAAAACAATCTAGTTAGTATGCTTTTTGATACATAAAATAATATATATAACATTATTTGGATATGTTAGAGTAAGCTATATGATATTAACAATTTTATAGGTCAAAAGGATGAAATATCAGCAATTTCATAATGGAAAAAATCTGAAAACAAAAAAGCCAAAATATCAGTGATTTTCACTCTTTTCCTTCTATTTTTGGCATTTTCCAGCTTTCGACAATGTACATATATTTCTAATAAAAACATTATTGTAAAACAAAAAGAGAACAAATGTTCCTCTTTCAGCTACTTTACTAAATCATGCAGTCTGATTGAGTACCTATAATCCATCATGCCAGTAACTGCAGCAAATGTAGCAATGGCCTGTAATTCCATTTTATACATACTGCAATAGATATTCAGCCCAGAATGATGTTTCAAAACAGCAGTTTCTGAAGTAGGCAGTTGGTGCAGATAAAATAGATACCAAACTGTCAGTGTTTCATAGCCTTAGAGATAGGTTGCTAGGACCTAACTCATAACATTTCCAAGAAAGATGCATAAATTTCTTATTGATGATCTCAATTACTTCTAAAGCATTTTTGAGAAAAAAATATTTTTAGGACCAAAATAAAAGTAGGTTATAAAGTCCTAGCTCTTGAGGACAATGGGGAGAGAAAGATTTTATATGCTGGAAAGAGGGTTTTTTTTTGATAGATGATCTGAAATAACATATCAATCCTTCATTAGTCAGTGCTAATGAATAGTCACATCTGTTTTCATGGAACAATGGAGAATTAAATATTTAAATAATATAGGTTATTTTCAAAATTTAGTATAACTTCTCCTTTTACACTTACTTTTAACTCTATAAGTTATTCTCTTACTCTCTTTATATATAATATAGAATACACTTGCCCATAATCTCAATAGAATACACGAGAATATACATACACTAAAATGTGTATGTACACATATATGTATACATACACATACATACACACACACTTTACAGTTTAATGAGTGCTAGGTACTATGTTGAGACTAGGTATAGATCTGTGAGCAAAACTGGCAGGTCTCTTACAGCCCAGTAGCAGAGACAGACAAACATGCAAATATATGCAAAATTATTAATTGTGAGAAATCAAATGAAAGCCAAGAACAGGATGCTGTAAGAAAGAATTAGGCTGAAGGAGAATTAGACTGGAGAGAACTTGGAATCTGAATCAACATGGGACGACGTCTCTGAGGAGAGGACATTTACACAGGAGAATGAGTGGAAGGAAAAGCCTCCTAGGCTTCAGAAAAGAAGGTTCTGACTCAGTGATAAGGAGCTATTCATACTGAGAGAAGGTCAGTAGACCTGGTGTTTTCTTGAGCAAGGCAGAGGGTCATCAAATGGTGTTTGAAAGGGAGGCCTGGGCCATGCGACTCAGAAGTCTACAGGTCCTGTGGAGGATTTATCCTAAGTAGAATAGGAATGTGCTAAAGTATTTTAAACAGGGAATGGTATGACTCGAGAAACATTTTTAAAACATTATTCTACTGAAATATTCTACTGGGCTCTACTGGTTCTACTATTGTATTGGGTGAAATTCTGTGATGTCTGATGTTTGCTTTAATAAATATTCCAGATATAAAGAAAGAAAGAAAATGTGGGAGTGGCAAGGGAAAGGATAACAGATAAAATAAAATGTCAAAATATTGAAAATTGCTAAGACTGAGTGATAAGTATATGGAGATTTTTATACACCTCCTTGTGTTTGGGGATATGTTTGAAATTTTTTATAATAAAAAGTTATTTTTCAAAAAGATAAAGAGTGAGCTTTGGCTCTGAGATTACCATCTCAATTCTGCCACTTACTATTAGGTATGTGATTTTAGAAAAGTGATTTTTCTTCTATAATCTTTAGTTTTCACATGTATGGAATAGTGATAATGACAGTACATACCTTATTGGCCTGTTAAATATATTAATGCAATAATAGTGGAGAGTTCAGCTCATAGTAAAAATCTGGGGCATGTTAACTATTATTTTAGAATTAACTCCAGGCATATTTGTTATATATATGTGTGTGTGTGTGTGTGTGTGTATGTATGTGTGGGTGTATGCGTATATATATAGTTTTGTTTTGAGACAGAGTCTCACTCCATCACCCAGGCTGGCGTGCAGTGGTGTGATCTCAGCTCACTGCAGCCTCTGCCTCCTGGGTTCAAGCAATTCTCATGCCTCAGCCTCCCAAGTAGCTGGAATTACAGGTGCATGCCACCATGCCTGGTTAATTTTTGTATTTTTAGTAGAGATGGGGGTTTCACCAGGCTGGTCTCGAACTCCTGACCTCAAGTGATTCTCTCCTTCCTTGGCTTCCCAAAGTGCTAAGGTTACAGGCATGAGCCATCATGCTCTGCATATATGTTTAAACCATTCTGGTGTCTGTATGGAAGATGGATGGGAGCAAGGAACGGTGATGTAAAAGATCAGTTAAGAGCAATTGCTGAGTTCAGCTGAATAGCACTGGAGCAATGGGGAAGGAGCGACATCGATTAAGGAGCCGCTGGAAAATGGATGGTGCTGAAAGCCCTGCAAAAAATCAGGATCTTCTGAGAGAGTTCCCAGGGGTTCTTGACTCCTCCCACTTTTTTTTTTTTTTTTTGCCATGGATTCCTTTGGTAGTGGTAAAGCCTATAGACTCTTTCTCAGAGTGATGTTTTAAGATGCATAAAATAAAATTTACAGGATAACACAGAAAATTATCTTGAAATACAGTTACTAAAATGTTTAAAAAGTAATTTTTGATATAGTAAAAAGTTTTTTATTAATGTATTAAGGAACTAGATCCAGAAGGCTGAAATATTGAGGTGGATATGAGCATATATATTTCAAGCTATCTAACTATAATGTGATATAAAAATATTGATTCTTTGTATTAGTAACTGTCACAGTTCAGTTTCCCCAGAAAGCAGAATCTAAGCTGGAGATTGGCATTTAGGGAGTTTGCTAGGGAATGCTCTTGACATCAACATGAGGGAAGGCAAGGTGGAACCGGTCAGAGAAGGATGACGTTGAGCTGTGATACAATCTGAGAAGAAGCTTCAGCCAACCTTACAGAAGGTCTGAAGATTACACGACCCTTCAGAAGTACCTGGAATCAGAGAAGAGGGCCAGGTGTTTACTACCCAGCTGAGGTGGCTCTCTGCAACTGAGGCCATTTCCCTGGGGCTGACAGCTGAAGGCACTCTGCCAACAGCTTTCATAGTAGCTGGGGATAAGTCCTCATTTCTGAAAGAAGATCTGAGTGTCACATTATAACATTAATCACAGCGACAAATTTATAGGTTCTGCAGGTTCCACTGTGGCTTGCTGCCTGCCTTCACAGTTGAAGAAAAGGCTGAATTTCAGTTAGAGATTAGTGGAAATGAAAATGTAATTTAAAATCCTATCAAAATTCACAAACCCCACATGGACCCCAGGTTAAGAATACCTGTGAGTGAGAAGCGGGCCCCGTACTCAGAGAGGCTGCTCAGGTTCTCTTGTTTTCTGGAACACAGTAAGCTGTTTTATTCTATAGGGAAAAATGAGCAGATTGAACCTAAGCATTAAATTTTAAAAAAATGAGCAGGGAAAATGTGTTTTCCAGAGCAAGAATGATGCCCGGAACAAAGCAAGTCAGATAGGATAGAGTCCACAATCCCAGAGAGAAAGACGTACATTGATGTGCAGCTGCCTGAGTCTACTTCAGAATTACAGATTTTAATCCCTCATGAAACCAAACTACACCTCCAGTTCTTGGTGTAGAAACACTCCTATGTCTTTATAATGTTATTTTTTCATGTAAGCTAGTTTAAGTAGGTTTCTGCTGCTTACAAGCTAATATATCTTGTTGAACACAGAGATACTTTAAAACTCCTCCCCTTAACACACACGTGCACAGAAATTCTTGAAATGTGCAGGAGTTTGGGGTGAGGAGCATCTAGCAAGGAACAAGGAGTTGGGAATGGTTGAAGCATTGGTGCTGGGATCTGTTAAGATCCTGAGCTCTCCATGAAAGTATTGGCTTTCTCTTTGGTGGTCTTTGCTGTATTGTATAACTAACCTACAAACCTACAAAAATGACTTATTTTTAATGTAGACCTGTGATCAACGTCAACATTTGATGATCAACTTCAACATTATCGTGCTTTAAAATGAGAATAAAGATATCTATTATATTTTTTAATTTGACAGAGTAGTGCAGGCAATAATGAAATGGTATTCATCTGAATAGCAATCTTTATTTTTAAAATCCAAAGGCACTCAATAATGTGCTCTGTGCACTTTGCTATTATGATGATATATAGAGTATAAAATATTAAGCATGTCTAACATTTAATTCATTTCAATCATACCAGTCTGTCAAGATATAATAAATCAACAAAACCAACAACTCCCTCCCAAACTTACCTATTGAACTACTCTTAGCTTTTTTATGTAGTCATGAAATTTGAAAATTACCTCTAAATTAGCATAGCTATTCACACATTATTTTCCCCACCAACAAAAGAAATGCCACTGTAACAGTTGCTTAGTACTTTTAAAAAAGAAGTTGATGTTAGTGACAGATTTTCAAGCATGTAATTTGTCCCAACACATGTGTTGTTTTATTTGTAAAAACTCCCAGGACTGAAGAATTAAGTTTCAAGAAGTTATTTATTGTGTCTCCTGGCAGAGTAGAATCCATGGAAAACAATCAACCAACAGAACTGTGTGATGGTCTATAAGATTTGGAATTATACCATTGTTATAGAGGGGAAATAAAAGACATTTCTCCTGTACCAGCTTCTCCTCCCCCACCACCCCTAGTAAGAAGTGGAAAATGAATATACCAAATGAACATACTTGGATTTGATTTTATGATTTGATTTTTATGATGGAACATCTTGTAAATGGGAGCAGATTCCTAAAAAAATTACAGTGCCAGCCCAGTTCTAAGCACCCCATCCCCAATTACTTTGAAAAGGGGCTCTTGTAAACCAACTGTTCGGTCACCTCTGATTACGAGGTTTGGAAGGAGTATCTTCCAGGACCTACCCTTAGCCTGATGCAGCAGATGGCCATCCAATTCCTTTTAAACTTTTTTTTTTTTTTTTGCATCAGAAGACACAGTAAATAGTAACTATTACACAGAATACTTAGGCACAGAAAACACAATATGGT